TTCCCCGAATCCATCTTTCACAGTGTTCTCTGACTGCCTTTCTCCTTTCCTCCTGGCGTTGGACCGCTATAACTTCAGACCGCTGGGTCCTCAGCATAGTGGAACGGGGTTATACCCTCCAGTTCCTTTCTACCCCCCCTTCCCACCCGCCTTCCCTGTCCCTCTTCAGGGACCCCTCTCACGAGAGTCTCCTGATGCAGGAGGTAAAGGGGTTACTACAGCTGGGTGTGGTGGAAGAAGTTCCTCTTGAGTACAGGAACAAGGGGTTCTATTCACGGTACTTTTTAATCCCAAAGGCCAAGGGTGATTTACAGCCCATCCTGGACCTGCGAGACCTCAACAAGTACCTACAGCTGCTAAAGTTCTGCATGGTCTCTCTGGCTTCTGTTATCCCCTCCCTGGATCCGGGAGACTGGTATGCCGCCCTCGACTTGAAGGATGCATATATCCACATAGCAATCTTTCGTGGACACAGATGCTTCCTCCAGTTTACGGTGGGGTCCCACCAATACCAGTTTACAGTCCTCTCGTTCAGCCTGGTGACAGCACCGCGAGTATTTACCAAGTGCATGTCGGTGGTGGTGGCTTACCTCAGGCGCCGGGGTATCCAGATCTGTCCGTACCTCGATGACTGGCTCATCAAGGGTGGTTCCAGGTCTCAAGTCTGAAGGGATGTTGCGGTACTTCAAGCCACGTGCCACTCTCTGGGCCTACTGGTGAACGACAAAAAGTCGACGTTAGTGCCAGTGCAGAGGATAGAGTTCATCGGCGCAGTCCTCGACTCTACATGCACCAGAGCGTTCCTGCCGCTGGAAAAGTTCCACACGATGGCAAGCCTCATTGTGGAAGTCTCCACGTTCCCTCTGATTACAGCCAGGGTCTGCCTGTGCCTTCTGGGCCACATGGCAACATGCACTTATGTGGTCCACCATGCCAGGCTTCAGATGCGGCCCCTGCAACAATGGCTGGTGACGGTCTATTCCCAGTCCTGAGACCCCCTGGAGACGATCGTTACCATTCCTTTGGCAATATTTACCTCGCTGAGATGGTGGACCGACCACAGGACAGTCCTAGAAGGGGTTCTGTTTGACAGCCCTCCTCACTCCATCGAGTTGGTGTTGGACGCCTTGGACCTCGGCTGGGGCGTACATCTCAGCAACCTCCACACGCCAGGGATGTGGTCCTGAGAGGAGGCGTGGTTACACATAAACATCAAAGAGTTCCAAACAGTCCGGCTGGCGTGTGGCGTCTTCTTGCCCCACCTATCGGGCAGGGTGGTACGAGTCCTGATGGACAACATGGCCTCAATGTTCTACATCAACCAGCAGGGGGGAGCGAGCTCGTTGGCTCTCTGTCAGGAGGCGCTCCATCTGTGGGACTTCTGCATCAGCCACAAAATCCACCAGGAAACTTGTCACCTTCCCGGCATCAGCAATACGTAACAGACCAGCTCAGCAGTGACTTCTCCTCTCACCATGAGTGGTCGCTCCATACAGTGGTAGCCTGCATGATCTTCCAAAGGTGGGAAACTCCCCAAGTGGACCTGTTTCCTACCAAACAGAACAGGAAATGCCTCCGGTTATGTTCTCAACATGGTCTGAGCAAGGACTCCTGCCTGATGCCTTCCTTCTGTGGTGATCAGGGAGCCTGATGTACGCGTTCCCTCCGATTGCACTCAGCACCAGGGCCCTGGCAAAGATCAAGAGAGACCAGGCGTGGGCTATCATGATCGCCCCTGCGTGGCCTTGCCAGCATTGGTTCAGCACGCTCATGAGCCTGTCAGTGGCCCCTCCCTGGCCCCTGCCCAACTGACCGGACCTGCTGTTGCAGGACCATGGTCGGCTCTTACACCCCAACCTCGGGTCCCTCCATCTCTTGGCATGGATGCTGCACAGCTGAACCCAGAGGAGTGGACCTGTTCGGAAAGAGTCCAACAGGTCCTCCTGGAAAGGACTTGACTGACTTACCTGGCCAAGAGGACGAGGTTTTCCCGCTTGGCATCCGAATGGGGCATCTCTCCCACCGTATAGGCTGTCCTGAACTACCTGCTCCATTTGAGGAACCAGGGCCTGGCCCACTCTTCCATTAGAGTGCATCTCTGCTTTTCACCCACCAGTCCAAGGACAGACGGTGTTCTCCCATGACACAATGGTCAGATTCTTGAGAGGGCTGGGGAAACTCTTCCCACATGTGTGGGTTCCCATTCTGCAGTGGGACTTAACTTGGTCCTCTCTAGGCTCACTGGCCCGCCCTTTGAACTGCTGGGGTCTGCTCCCTTTCCTATCTGTCATGGAAGGTCACGTTCCTGGTGGTGGTGATGTCGGCGAGACGGATCTCAGAAATTGACCTCAGACCCGCCATACATGGTGTCCTACAAAGATAAGGTTCAGTTGCGGCCCCACCCGGCCTTCCTGCCAAAGATGGTCTCCACCTTCCATATGAGCCAGGACATCTTCCTCCTGGTGTTCTGTCCCAAACCGCAGAAGACCAGTGAAGAGAGGCTTCTTCACGCCCTGGACATCCAGAGGGCCTTGGCTTTTTACTTAGAACATACCCAGCCTTTCCATAAATCGACTCAACTCTTCATCACTACAGCGGATAGGATGAAGGGTCGCAGAGGATTTCCAATTGGATCACCTCATGCATAAGGACCTGTTATGACCTGGCGGGGATTCCACCGCCGCCGATAGTCAGAGCCCTCTCAACGAGAGCTCAGGCATCTTCGACGGCTTTCCTGGCGCACATCAGTATCCAGGATATCTGTAGAGCCGCAACGTGATCCTCAGTCCACACGTTTACCGCTCATTATGCCATCACTCAGCAGGGCAGGGATGATGCTGGGTTTGGCAGAGCTGTGTTGCAATCTACACGTCAGTGAACTCCTACCCACCTCCGGGGGTACAGCTTTGGAGTCACCTAAAATGGAATGGACATGAGCAAGCACTCAAAGAAGAAAAGACAGTTCCTTTTTCGTAACTGGTGTTCTTCGAGATGTGTTGCTCATGTCCATTCCATGACCTGCTCTCCTTCCCCACTGTCTGAGTTTCCGGCAAGAAGGAACTGAGGGTGGGGGGAGACAGCAGGGCCCCTTATACCATGCCATGCGTGCGCCACTCCAGGGGGTGCCAGAGCCGGTCCCCTACGCATACTGCTGAGGGGAAAACTTCTGGCACTGGTGCATGTGGCAAGCACACACACCTAATATGGAATGGACATGAGCAACATATGTCAAAGAACACCAGTTACGGAAAAGGTAATTGTATTTTTTCAGTGGAGAGAGGTAAATGAACAGCATAGGTCCCAATACAGATCCTTGGGGATGCTAACGTATTCATAAATGGTCTGGAAAAGGGGGTAAAGAGTGAGGTGGCAAAGTTTTGTAGATGATACTAAATTACTCAAGATAGTTAAGTCCAAAGCTGATTTAAAGAATTACAAAGGGTTCTCACAAAGTGGCAGATGAAATTCAGTGTTGATAAATGCGAAGTAATGCATATTGGAAAAAATTATCACTTCTATATAGGCAAAATAGTGGGTTCTAAATTAGCTGTTACCACTCATGAAAGAGATCTTGGAGTTGTGGATAGTTCTCTGAAAACATCTGCTTGTGTGCAGCAGCAGGCAAAAAAGCTAACAATGTTAGGAACCATTAGGAAAGGGACAGATAATAAGACAGAAAATATCATAATGCCACTATATACATCCATGGTACACCCACTCCTTGAATACTGTGTGCAGTTCTGGTCATCCAAGCTCTAAAAAGATGTATTAGAATTGGAAAGGTGCAGAGAAGGGAACATATAAGGAGAGATTAAAAAAGACTGGGCCTCTTCAGTTTAGAAAAAAGATGACTGGGTATATAATAGAGGTCTATAAAATCATGAATTGTATGGAGAAAGTGAATAGGGAAGTGTTATTTACTCCTTCACATAACACAAGAATCAAAAGTCACCCAATGAAATTAACAGGCAACAAGTTTAAAACAAACAAAAGGAGGTACTTCACACAACACACAGTCAATATGTGGAATTCGTTGCCAGGGGATGTGAAGGCCAAAAGAATAACTGGGTTCAAGAAAGAATTAGAATTCATGGAGGATAAATCCATCAATGGCTATTTGCCAAGATGGTCAGGGATGTAAACCCATGCTCTGGGTGTGGCTAAACCTTTGCCTGCCAGAAGCTGGGACTGGATGACAGAGGACTGGCCACTCGATATTGCCCTATTCGCTTCATTCCGTCTGAATCATCTGGCACTGGCCACTGTCAGAAGACAGGACACTGTGCTAGATGGATCATTGATCTGACCCACTATGACCATTCTTACATTCTTATACAGGTGAGTCTCATCTTACGCGGGGGTCAAAATTACATTGTGTTGAATGGTGGGCGGAATCGCCCGCACTACAGGTTTTTGTTTTTGCCGACCGTGTAAAGCTGAAATCACGCATGTTAAATGTGCGTAAGATGCGACAGACCTGTACATGTTCTGCTTGACCTACTAAAGGTCTGTGGCAAAGTCACACAACACCTGAAAAAGTATTTCTCCTCCTCCCTCTTCAATCAACGCTTCAGCCTTAAAGCAGACAGAAGGAAAGTGCTTTGGGTTTCCTGAGAAATCTTCCATTTTACAAAATGAAGCCTTAAGTTTGGCGTCACCTTGAAAATGGCCAAAATTTCAGACAATGCAGTTACGTCCCCTGGAATGTCTAATTTGTTTTCTCTTGTTTTGAAATAAATCAAAATTATATAGTCCCTGTAATTGCAATTGCCATGAATTCAAGTCATTCATCTCCTGGAGGGCCAGAGCTTTCATCAGTACGCCATTGGCATGAAGTATTGCAGTGCTGCATATTCATCATTCAAGCTGAGACACCAGCTACAGGGCCCCAGATTTTTGCTCTGAACGAAAGGAAAACAGTCCCTTTTCCAGCCCCTTGATCAGGGATTCTATCCAATAACAATGCTGCCTCTGCACGAGGTACGTTTACTTGTAAAGTTTGCAGTAGGAGAGGCTTTCCTTAAAGCTGTGAGTCTTTTATCCTGGCAGGCTCTTCAAGATTGTTGTGAGGAGTCTAGCCAGTTGGTGAGCTCTGTAATCTAAACCAGCTGTCCCCAGACTGAGGCCCCCATTTGCATTGTTTAACATACTTAGAAAATGAAGTGTTCATTTTTAACATTCCTCCTCCAATTGGTTTAATGCAGAATTACAGAAGAGAACTAAGCAAAACCAGGTGCTTTTGCTGTATTCTCTCCAGTGTCTGAGGAGGAGCAGACCTCTCCCTGCCCTGTCTATTATTTGGTATTTCATTCTCTGGAATATAAATGACGGAGGAACTCAAGTGCTAGCAAAACACCGATGTTCAGACACGTTTTTTAGTTATTCAGCAGTTCAGACTCCTTTTTTCCATCTTTCCTAACCAATGTTGGACATGCAAGAAGTAAAGAGGTAGGTACTGTGCATCAAACTATTTTACTCACTGAATGGAAACCTACTCATGGAAAACGTCTGTGGCTACGAGTCACTATGCCAGTTCACTTGCTAAAGCCATTTGCAAAGAGACAGGATCTTAATGGTCAGAGAGAGGGTAAAGCTCTTTTTGTTTGTTATAAAAGCTGTGCTGTCTCTAGCAATTTCTGTCTCGATCTATGCTGTATTCTGCATTTAGGAATCTGTCTCTTTTGGGAATGCTGAATTGCTACAGTGAAGGGTCTTCTAGCTAAAATCACAGCTGCTTTCTCTGCAGATATGATTCACAGTAATTGATTTAAACTTCACTAGCTATTGTTGCAGAAGTTAATTGCTCTTTTATAATATTTTGTCTGCTGACTAAAACAGGACCAGCTTAAAGCAATATTGTTGGGTGGTTGTTATATGTCTGTTAATAAGTCTCAGGGGGATGAGGGATCTGATAGTGTAAAGTCAGTTGAAGTAGTGATTGCAGCCCAAACCCACGTCAGGAAATTCTCTGTACTGTTCTATCACCTTCCTCATATCTCAGAAGAACCTAGTGGCTCTTAATTCTTGAAACTGAAGGATGTGTATAGTTGTGGATACTGTCAGTAAGTAGATATGAATTTTTGCTGTACATCAGAGAGTAGCCCTGTTGGGCACTTTTAACATAGAGCCATAAAACTTTTCATTTCCTTCCGTTATTCCTCTTTCTAGATACAAAATGAACGTGCAGTAATGTACATAGTGCATGCTTGAGAAAATGTGCTCTATCCCTCAAAAGGATTTAAAGTTTAAGGTAAAAGAGATGTAGTCCTAAATGGATGATACAGTGCTTTAAATGCGTTACCTCCATTTCTAGGGGAAAGTCTTTACAGAATTTGCCTGTTTGTGTCACTACAAAACTTGCCAAACAAGCAACGTTTGCCTGTTACACAGCACCATGAATAACTATGTTAGGGGTCGTGTATACTTTTCAGTGCTTATTCCTCAACTAAACATACTGGTGTTTTAATATGTGCCTGTCAGTTTGTGAGTAGTCTTGTCTGATGTATCTAATAGGTCATGTTCAGTACCTTGACTTGCTGTACGAATCATAGACAGAGCTAAAAGAACCTGTAGGGAAAATTGGCTGCTCCTTTAAGTAGCAGAACTGAGGCCACCTAAAATTTTCCTGCTTCCCATGTTGTTTTTTGAAATATACTGTATACACTATAGACATTCAGTAATAGTCTCCAGTGTAAATGAGACATGGCTCTAAAATGTATTGAAAAGGACCTTTATATAAGGAAACTGGAAAACACTGAAATTAAAGTACACAAAATAAAATTAATTTCTTATTGTTCTTTCCAGATTTAAATCTGGCACTAGTTAATATCCAACACTTTGATTTGGCCAGGGTATTTATATGGGCAGAGCATACTTCCAGGGCTCAGTCTATAGCCAAATATTTAATAGCAAAGGGACAGATTCTGTCACTGAGAAGTTCCTTGCTTTACAAAAAGTCCTTTGGAAATACATAGGCCAGACTCTCAGCTGCTGTAAATCAGCATGGTTCCATTGAAGACACTGATTTATATCAGCTGATGACCTGGCACAATGTATTTACTTGCAGAGCAAGATAATAGTGTGAGTAAAGAGGCAGAATCTGACCCCAAGAAGTCAGTTGATTTTGAGAGTACTTTCTTGGGGATGAAGCGTGGTCTAGCCCTGCTAATGACTTGCTCTGTGGGGTTTGTGCTTCAGTTTATCCATCTGTAAATTGTGTATAACACTTACCTAACTCCTAAGGATGTTGTAGACTAAATTAATGCTTGTGAAGGGTTTTGACATTCTCAGAGGACAGGTTCCACAGAGGGATAAAGTTTTATCATTGACTATTATAAACTTACCCTTTGAAGAGCTTGTGTATAGCCTATAATAAAGGACATGGATTAGCCTACAGATATGTAGGGCCTGATTCTGATCTCACTGATGTAAGTCCAGGGTAAGAACACTGACTTCAGAGAGTTCTGAATCTGGGCCATATACTTAATCTTATATATCATCAGCCAAATTCATCTATAGTAAAGCACCGTGGAGTGCACTGGAGTTACACCAGAGATTAATTTGGCCTTGTATCTAAATCTGTGAAATGAACATGTGCATCAAAATGTTTACATCTTATTTTCTATGTGTATTATAGGATACTGACTGTTTTCATGCTGGCCACCTGTCTTACACGCCCTGGGAAAGCACAGGTGAGATGAGCACACTGAATACATATACTTTTTTTACACTAAAGCATTTCATAGCATGAGGCTTACTTTGATAGGTGAATAGGAAATCTGTGGTCTGGGGCTTAGATGAACAGGAAGTTATGTGGTCTAGGGTTTAGCATGGAGGAATGGGAGCCAGCAGGATCCTGGAGTCTAATGTGGATTGTCAACTCAGCAGGAAATTCTTGGAGAAAGACAGGCCTCAAAGAAAACCAGACACTGCCTCTGAACTAAGTAGCCCTTGAAAATGAATGAGCAAAAGCACCCACACAGGAGCTTTGAGTCCTGAGTTCTACCAGTAAGGAACCTCCATATTTGGAATTCCCATTGATTTGAATGGGAATTCTGCGTGTGGAAAGCTTCGAGGGTCCAGCCCTAGGCCTTTCACCTGTGGGCTTGGGAGCCTGGTGATGTCATCCTAGTCTTCATTCTAATTCCTGGGAATATCCAGGAGCATTGGAGCTCAGGATTGAGGGATATTACATTAGTAGGGCTGCATAAAGAAGTTTACACAGTTCCTGCCTGAATTAAGCCTGGCTCAAGCACATTTTATTAGTCCTTCATGTTCTTGGGCATTTAAATTCACTGTAAATTAGGGGGGTTAGACTCTGATTTGAAGGTAATAGTCCTATATTGTGTTTCCAAATACCTTTTACAGAAGGGTTTGAAATTTAGTTGTTTTTTCCCCCCAGTTGGATTGACAGTTGGCTGGATTTGGCTTGTTAATTGATATTTTGTCAACATTAGAGCTGGGCAAAAAACTGTTTTCCCAACCTGAGAGAATTTTAGAGATTTTGCATTTTTTTCCCATCCTGAATTGGGATGAAAAGTTGAAATATCAAACATTTTCACAAACTGAAAATAAAATTTAAAATAATTGAAATTTACTTTAAAATAAGTAAATTGAAACATATTCTTTTTATAATTTTGCAATGTTTCATTCTGATTTGGACATTTAATTTCTTTTTAACTTTTTGCTATAAATTAAAGTTAAAAACAGTCATTTCCAGCTGAAAAATTGAACTCTTTCATTTTGAAAATGTCAAAACAGGACATCCTTCTGACAATTTCAAAACTTTTTTTAGTTTTTTTCAAAACAAGACATTTGTTGAAACCAACCTAATTCCCACAAAGAGTTTATTTCAACTAATTGGCCTGTTTTGATGAAAAGATTTTTCATCTAAAAGTTCCCAACCAGCTCTAGCCAACATAGACAACAGCCACAAGATGTGAAGCATGTCACTGTAGCTAGGTGAAGAGGTTAAAAGCACACAGAGTATGTATGTTCTTTACATGACAGACTGAAAATAGACTCTCCCATCAGAATACCTTTGGTTTCCTCCAGATGATGCTAAAACATCTCATAATGTCAAAGTAAGTGCCGGCAGAATTCCCCACCACATGATCTGTAACTGTAGGTGATGGCCTAGAGTGCTCTTGTGGGTAGATGGAGGGGCTCACTTCATATATTTAAATGACCATTCATGTATTTCCTGCCATGTCCCCTTAACCCCTTTAAAAATGCCTGTATCAGTGTCTTGTTCATTCCACTCTATCGCTCCCACCTGCAGTTTACATTGCTACCAAATATGCATGACACACTTTCCCTTCCCAGCTCACCAAGGCAACACTTTCTACTGACTTAAAATATTTTTAGAAAACTCACCTTGACGCCCAGAAGAAAAACACCACTACGTCCTCCTGCCCTCTGGTTCTTCCAGTGCATCCTGTCTTCAATATCCCTATTTCTTACACTGTAAGTGTAACCTACTGACAGATTGGGTGTCATGCTCCCCTCTACTGGCTGACAAACTGTTACCAGCTGACGGGCTGATCCAAAATCCATTGAAGTCAATGGCTGCCTTTAAACTGACTTCACTGGGCTTTGGAGGAGGGCCTACAGGAGTTTCTTCTGTAGCTGATGTGCAGAGGGCTCTGCTGGCATACTGGAAACCTCTGTCCAAGCCCTGCTGATGGTCTGTGTGGTGGGGTGAGGAGACTGCTGTAAAGCTTGCACCCTTGAAAAAAGCTTCCTCTAAGGATTTGTCTACAGTAGGATTTAAAGGTGTGGTATTAGCAACACGTCTATGTGTGTGCTAAGCTGGTTGAGTTATACCCTAGATTCCAACTCCACCATCTTAGCATGTGTTAAAAAGTATATATTGCCTTGTCAACACTAGAGTTGGCTAACGACTTTTAACAACACACCTTTTCTCCTCATCAAGACAAGTGCTAACAGGAGATATAATAATAATTCCTAGATCTTATATTGCACTTTTCATCCATAGATCTTAAAGTGCTTGACAAAACAGATGGTCAGTATCATTATTCCCATTTGACAGATGGAGAAACTGAGAGGGAGGTGACTTACCTAAGGTCACTCAGATTGGTGGCACAGCCAGAAATTGAACCCAGCTCTCCTGAGTCCCAGTCCAGTGGCCTATCCACTGAGTGCTAAGCCACTGGCAGACTAGGTATTGGTTTCTCCATTAGAGAATGACAGCCTGCTACTGCTACCAGCTTATAGAATTACTGCATGAGCTAAAGCAAGAGGTCTGTGCTGCGGTGCTGAAGGTTCTGAGTTCAAAGCCTGCTGACTTCCCATATGAGAGAGTCATGACACAGGTCCTTTGGAGAAGGGACTCTGTTCATTTTTTGCATACTGTACAGTGCTGAACACATTGCACTATAATAATAATCCAGATGATCATGTGATTTTTGTTTTTTGGTCATCATCCAATTTTACAATCACTGAGTGTCCTTTCTTTTCTTGTTTTAGCAGCAATGCACTAACGGGTTTGACCTGGACCGTGCCTCTGGGCAATGCTTAGGTAGGATTTTGACTGAATCAATTCATTTACACTGGGGTTCAGACCCTCTGGCTTTGTTAAATTAATAACGTGCTACTGTCTGTGTATTTTGGCTGAAGGGGATGCTCTCAGTGTCTGGCAAATCTGTATCAATTATGCACAAGCCTTTGGAAATTGTTCACTTGCATCATTTTTCAATATGAAAATGTCATTGTTCAGACTGGGTGCAGTGCTTTTCACATGGCTGTGATGACATGAGTTTGGGAGCTCAGTCTAGTTGCCAGAGAACAGGGGTTCAGTATCATAAATACCCACTACTTGCTACTTTTGGCAGCTTCAGCCAAGAGGCCAGAGAGAGTTCCTCTCACCCTCTAGTTCAGAATTAAGGTGCACTTTGGGACAGTGCAGGGAAGCTTGCACTTTGCCCATGGAGCATCTTTTCTGTGGATTCAGAGGACTTCAGTCTCCAGGGCTGTCAGTATAGCACCTTCCACATGCACTAACAAATAGTAAGATAAAAACACTAACATAAAAACGGAGATGCCCTGTCTGAGCTGCCTAGCAGTTCCACCCTCCCAGCCAAGGAAATGCTCAGATCCTAATAATCTCTCTGCATCTTTCTAAGGTCAAGACAAAAAATCCCAGTCAGAACAAAAGAGAGACCTGAACCAAATCCCCAGATTTGAACATCTCAAACTTTGTGTGTGGGAGGCACTGTGGAGTCCCAGATCAGGATCCAAGTTTCACAGCTGGGCAAACCAAACCACCAGTGTTTGAAATCTGGAGCTGAATGTTGTGGCTTGGACAGATCCCTTAGGAGAAACAGGCTGTAGGATCAGTGTTTAAACTGAGCATCTATAGAAAAGAAAAGGTTTTTTTTTCCTGATTGTAAAGTAGAACAAATAGAACACATGCTAGGTTGAAAATATGCGCTGTTTCCTGTTATGATGTGAGCTGACTTCAAAGTGAGACTCCACAAAGGAAGCCTAGCTTTTCCTAGCACAAACCATGTATCACATATTCAGCAAAATCCCAAGTAAACCGTATCGTATGTGCTGTTCTGTGCATGAGTCACACTAAGGACCAACTGTGGAAATTGCTGATCTAATTGCCATTCTATTATTACATCCTTCCAGATATTGATGAATGTCGGACTATTCCTGAGGCCTGTAGAGGAGATATGGTGTGTGTTAACCAGAATGGTGGCTATTTATGCATTCCCCGAACAAATCCAGTTTATAGATCACCATATGTGAATCCTTATTCAAACATTTATCCACCACCTCCAGCTCCCAACTACCCCACTGCTACAAGACCTCTGATGTGTCGGTTTGGCTACCAAATGGGCGAAAACAACCAATGTGTTGGTAAGTAGTAGAACACTTTATGTATTTTAAGGCTAGAAGGGATCACTGTGATAATCTAATCTAACCTCTTGCATAACTGAGGCCAATGTCACACACTAATTCTTGCTTGAAACCTGATAAATTGTGGTTGGACTATAGCATTTCTCAGAGAAGGACATATGTTATGCTTCTTGTATGGTCTTAGTTCAGGGCAAACAAAGTCTTCAATCTGCATGTTTTCTTTAAAAATGAAAATCCATTCTGTTGATTTGAAAGATGGCTCTGTCAGATGATTCACTGGTGCATACAATATATGAATTTTTACCATCATGAGTCTGTCCTTGAGAGAAAGGAGGGTCTATGTTTAAGGAACTGGAGTAGGACTCAGGAACTCTAGGTTCAATTCCAAGCTCTGCCACAGACTTCCTGTATGACCTTGGGCAAGTCTCCTAATCTCTGTGCCTCAGATCCCCATCTGTAGAATGGGTATAATAAGACTTCCTTTCTCCCACCATTTGTCTGCCTTGTCTGTTTAGACTGTAAGCTCTTTGGGACAGGACTGTCTCTTACTATATGTATGTATATTGCCTAAAACTAGTAGTATTACTAGGATAACTTTAAGGCCTCAACTAAAAATGGACCCCACTGTACTAGACACTGTACAAACATGCAGTAAGAAACAGTCCCTGCCCCAATAGAGCGCTGATCCTGTAACACAAATAATAAATAACTATTCTTACTGTTTCTTCCATTTTGTAGCTTTTCTAGAGGTGCATCTTTTGGGCTTGATTCTGACCCCACGTACACCACTTTTACCCAGCTATGATGCTTGCTATCCGTGGAATTACTCCTGATCTACATCAGTTTAAGTGAGAGAGAATCACCACCATTTTTGTTTATTTGTTTTTTCTAGCTTCAAGAGTACAGCTTGCAAGCCAAATTCTAAACTGACATGGGTGTAGCAGACATAATGCCACTAATCAGCAGAGTTACTTTGGTGTTAAACTGGTATCCTAGAATCATAGAATATTAGGGTTGGAAGAGACCCCAGGAGGTCATCTAGTCCAGTCCCCTGCTCATCACTCTCAGGCTCCAAGTGTTCTGTAGTGCAGGAGTCATGGATTCAGACTCTGTCATTGACTCAATGTGCAACCACTATCTTTTGCTGCACCTCAGTTATCCCACCTGTAAAATGGAGATGAGATAAGTTGAAAATGTTCAGTCAAAACTGTTGGAAAATTTGGGTTTTTAACAAAATGATTTTTTCATGAAAATGTCTGCTTTCCAAAGAAAAATATTTTTTTCATTGAAAAACTGAATGCCCAAATCCTGAAATATTTTTATTTGGATATGCTGCTCCAATGCCTCATAGGAGTAGTTGTTCAATTTCCTCATGTCCCTGTTTTTCTCTAGGGGTTCAGTTATATCTCCCATGATGCACCACAGCCAGGGACTCCCAGGATGCACTGCCTCCCCTCTCCAAGAAGGGAAACCCTGGTGCATGATGGGAGATGTAGTTTCACCAGCCAATAGAGAAGAATGGGAACTTAAGGCATCCAAACTACAGTTCCCATTAGGGAAGCATTTCTGAATCAAAATATTTTGGGTTTCAGCCAAAATATTTCTGGATTTTGGCAGAACATTTTTTGTATTTGAATTATTGCCAAAAAAAATTATTTTTTCATGGGGGGGAAAACCCATTTTCCAACCAGCTGTAATAATAATAAGGGATGTTGTGAAGTTTAATTAATTTTTTGCGAAGAGTTTTGAAATCCTCAGATGACAGGTGTTGTGAGTTAAGTATAGTATTAACTAGTCCTACTGACCCTACTGAATTAATTCACATCATTTATGATGTATGTTGGTTTGGAGACTTCTGGGAATGTTTTGTATTTTCCTAACTTTGATGTAGATGGGCCAGTAAGTGCAACAGTTAAAATTAAAAGTAAATTCTGGAATTGGAGGGCACAAAAAAGAATCTCAGTTCCCATGCTGACATTTTGGGTTGTCCTTTCTGCTGTGTTCACACCCATCCCTAAAAATCAAAGTGGGTAGGATTATTAAACTTTCCGAGTGGGGCTTACAAGCCAAGCACATAATGGTTCCTGTAGGGGCTTTTGGAACTCTGAAGGCCAATGCTTCTTTCAATCAGCCCCATTCCAGTAGAACCACCTGGAGTTGTGAATACAGCAATTAATTGCTAGGGGAGGCTGTGCTGAATGCAACCACTGACCAGAATAGCTGGGAAAAGATGGAGAGTGGCCCATCAGACTCACAATTAGCTGGAAGCATTTTCTGAACCTCCCCATCAGGTTTGAATTGAGGTAGATAATAGTGTTTGTGTAAGAGGACAAAAAACAAAGCTTTAAAGAAAGAAAACAAGACCTGGCCACAACCATTGGGTCTCCACTGGGTTAAACTGTGTTGTTTAGTGAAAGGCTCTGGAGACTATTTGTGTTTCACTTCCCTGAGATGGGAACGGCAGGCACCTAGATAGACAGTATAGAAGATTGTCACACTTTGCTGTAGCGTCGTTAAGTTCCTCTGCAGTAACTGGGCCCATTTTAGTATTTCTTGTACATCCAGGACACTGTATGTAATGGAGGTACAGTTCACCCTTGCGCTGGGGGACAACACAAGGTTTATGTATCACTTACGCCCTCAGGGTTTAAGTAATGGATTGGCCTTGTTCTGACCCTCTGCATAGGGGTGAATTTCACCAGGCATACACAAGAAATGCTGAACCAAAAGGGTGCCTGAGCCATAAAAACAACTGCCAGTGTCAGTGACCCTTCAAGCTGCCCCTGCCCTTCCCCACTTGTCAACGTTCCACGCCCTTTGAAACCTAGGACAGTCTTTTACAACGAAGTTTTCAAAAGTGCTCACTACCAGCCTAACTACTTCTATTGAGGTCCATGGGACTTTTGGCCATTGAATTCAGTGGGAGCGGAGGTAGCCTAGTGCCCACTTGTTCTATGGAGTGTAGGTTATAGAAACTCTCTCAGATCATATTTAGGGTTTATAAGATACTCCTTTGCCAAACTAATGCAATAGAAATCTTTACTTTCTTTTTTCTTTTTTAAATTCCAGTGGAAACATTCTTTTTAATGAATGAACCATCCCCTGACAAACCTGTTTTCACTATCCGAGCTGAGAGAAATGCAGGAACGTTGTGAGAGGGTCTGTCTATCCCAGCCTGGCAACTGGTTGGTGAGCCAACCCTCACTTTGCCTTAACTCTCCAAGGAATGCACAACCCAGGTGGTTCAAATAATATTCCCCCTCCTAGGGGCTGATTTATTCCAACATAGCTAAAGATAAACATAAGTAGTTCCTCTCCTGGTCAGCAAGAGTTCACAAGGAATCCATCCCTTTCTAGCCTTCCAGGCCTCATCCTTTCTGGCCAGAGTCATAGGAGCAAGGTGAACAGATTCCTTCCCCAGTCCTGCCACGACTTGGCTCTCCTCAATCCTAACACAGTCCTCACCCACAATCCTGTAGCCAGAGAGCCTCCCTGTAGAGCCTCTTGCACTGGGTGAAAAGCAGCCCCTCTTACAGTATGCACTGCTTCTGACTCCCCTCCTGCGTGTCTTTTGAAAGTTTGTCTCTCTCACTAACAGATGTTGGTCCAATAAAAGACGGAGACAATCACCTACCTTGTGTCTGTAATACCCAGGGACTAACACAGCTACAAGAACCCTGCATGCACTAGAAAGAAACTGCTATGGCCACTTACAGGGCAGAAGGGGTTAACCCTTTCCCTGCTGGTTAGGCCTGGGGCTTCTGCACCCTGTCTCAAAGGGAAACAAACTGCTTAAAGACAATAAATGAAAGCTTAAGTGCTCTCAATGTTAATGACCTAAGAGCTGCTGTTAGCACCACAGGGAAGGATATTTGTTTTCTAGAAAGACAAGTGTGTATATTTGGCATTTTTCTTAAAGCCCCAGCTGCTGGAATAGTGATGTTGCATAAAAATACTTAGCTTTCATTTAAAAAAATTAAGTTTTTAGCCCTTGTAGTTGCAGAGAAAAGCTGGAAATAGGACCCAAGTGCCACCTGAAGCTTCAAAAATCACCAGGCATAGAAAAAGATACCAGAGGGTGGTGGTAATTTTTAAACCTCCTGATTCTTTGGGGACCAACTCATGGTTCTGAACATTTGGGGCATGTCTACTTTACAGTGATTATACCAGCATAGCTAGGTCACCATAACTATGCCGGCATAGCCCCATAGTGTGTACACACAGAAAAAACCAATGGAAAGGGTTTTTCGATTGATGTAGGAACAATACCTCCCCACATCTTCTGTCCATCTACCTGCATCTACACTGAGGTTAGGTCAACACAACTGTGTTACTTAGGGGTGTGGATTTTTCATACTCCTGAGTGATGTAGCTATGTCAACCTAAATTCTAAGTGTAGACCAGGCCTTGGGGTTGGCAAATGCAGTGTTCATTACACCAGTAAAAAGTGTGTGTAACTTGCTACTTAGAATGGGAATGATTTATGCCCACTCTGCACATTATTTGCATTGATGTAAACAGCAATCTCACCCAAGAGCTCTAACCTGACAGTGTCCCTTTTAACTTATATAATTTCTGACTCTCTTTTCCTTTCAAATTGTAGACTGCTTAACTATCATAATGCCCCTTTTGTTAGAGGAACTCAGTCCAGGAACTGTTGGCAAGACTGGATTGGAACTAGAGCCCGTGTTCTTGCATTATACATTCATAAGCTGAGAGTTCTTTCCAATTTCCCTTCACTCCACTCCACCCCACCATTTCCTGATTTACAATGATTTTTAAAACATGCCTGAAGTATAGATCCTTTTGGGCATTGTAGAAAGAATTGTAAGGGATGGGCTTTTGTTTTTACTGTTTTTACTCCATTAACATGTCTGTCGAATGGGAGGAGCCAGGGATGGAAGAAGAGAGAGAATCAAGGAAAGCAGACAGAAGCAAGAGAGAGCTGTGGTTTTAGCTCAGTGGGGCTCTGGTTCAATCCTCAGTGCTGGCAATGATGA